CACTGGGAATTGAGATTTATTCAAATCATGTCAGCAAAACAACTTTATTACTCATGAAAAGAAGAGACTGGGTTATCCTGATTGTTCAGCAAAGCCTCTTTTTGCTTAACATTTAATTTCTATTCCTTTACGCAGAGACAAGCTAAGTGATGTAAGGCCCAGGGTTAGCAGAAGAGTGAAATATACCCCAAGACAAACAGAAAGATCTTTAAAGATTCGCTCAGTTCTTATCTTTTTTGTTTTAGGACCACATATCCCCTAGCTATTCATCATGGTTCATTTCTTTCAGGAAAGTGGGCTCATACAGCTTATATTTAACTATCAATATACTATATATTACATTGCCTTTAGTTGGTAAACACCAGTTAAGAAAATTTGAATGTTAATGTACTAAATTTATTAAATACGTGACTCAGGTCAAATATAAGTTTTTTTGTTTTGTTTTTTTATGGAGTCAAAATATGGTTTGTATGGATACACCAATAGACAGTGCCTTCAGTTTTAAGGGTTTTCCATTGTCTCATTTTTAAAAATTATTACCCTTATGTGACATAGAAACTTCAGTCTCTGACCTTCTTAATATGGCTAGAGCTTAAAAGATGGAAATACCTGTTAAGACTCACTCTTAATGAAATCAGAAGAGGAGTCAGGACATAAGAGGAATGAATGCCTAGGAAGGCACACTTAGTAACACTTCCACAAGGCTCATCTCCACCTCTCAGGAATATCTCCTGATTAATAGCAGGACAGATACTTTTATCCACCTGATAATTTGTATTCTTAACTATGATTGTTTAAAGACAAGTTATGTTATCATGAACATTAGATCTCTTTCTTTTCTCCTCAACCAAAAAGGGACTATTGCAAATCGAGGAAATGTATAGACTTGAATTAGATTTCCCTCATTTTCCTAGATTCAACATTTAAATTCAAATGTTTTATTTCCCAGGGGTTGGGGAGGTCAGACAGGATGAATCTAAGAATGGAATTTGTAGAAAAAATGAGAAAATGAGTTCCTCCTTTTCTCCTACTGTCTTGGCAATGCATTCTATATAAAAAATGCAAACAAACAGGGAAAGGCCTGCTTGATTATTTATAAATCATTAGCATTTTTATTTTACCCTAACTAGTTTTTCTCCCCCACAGAACCACAATTTGAACTTGAGCTTTTAATTAGAAAATGTATCTCTGTAATCAGAGGACATTCCACTCTAACAGGCAGGAATATTCTAGACAATGATCTTCATGTAAACCTGTTTATCTGTGACATAAATTTAAAAAACAGTTTCTAAGTTCCTAACTTTGTTAAAGGTATATATACTTCTTTTCAAAATTGAAGGTAACCTCTTATCGATTCTTTGTTGCTTTTTCTCTGTGTACTTACTATGTTTTGATCATTTTTATGTGATATTACCACTATGATACTAAAACAGAGTAAATACATATTGAGCTCCTGGCTTAAGATGATGTGATTTTTGAAAAGCTGTTTATTTTTCTCCCTTTTAAGTGACAACTACGTTTTAAGATCAAACTTAATTTTATTTCATAAGTATTTTGGGGAACTGAAAAAGAATGGCAATCTGTCACTTCTAGTTTAAAGAACCCATCTATTTCTGATCTAAACTCTTTTTAAAAGCTGTCAAGGGTACTTAATCATTGTGATTGGCTTGATGATCCTTGCCAAGTCACTTCCTTCTTTAATGTGTATGAGAAGATCAATGGGCTGCAAGAAGTAAAAAAAAAATAATATGAAAGGGGGTTGGGCTGGTGGTAGTAATTAACTGACAAATACAAAATAAAAAAAAGATTTTTATATGTGTACACACATATTTTAAAAATTGATCACCTTTAATTTATAATCTTTGATTTTCTATAATGATACAGGTAAATTGATATACAAATTATATTTTTGTTATTAGAATATTTTAAAACAAGCACCTTTGGGTGCTAGCATAAGACAGTACAAGTGGGCAAGCATATTGATTCAGAAATTGGATATTATAGGTTCATAGTTCATCTTAGTTATATTACATCTGGCAAGGCAAGATAGTTAACTCTGTGTATCAGTTCCTTCAACCATAAAATGAGGATATTTGTAGTACTTCTCCTAGCAAGCTGTAATGAGATTGAGTAAGATATGCCATGTAAACATTACAGAATGCTGGGCATACAGTAAGCACTTAATGTTTGCTATTATGTTAGCTATTTTTAAAGTCTTCTTTTTCTAACAGTTTTAAGGGAATCTATGTATAACTGTGCTGCTTTCCTACAAATTAGGTGATATAGATGATTTCTTCCTCCCAAATTTACACATTGTATTTTTCCTTCTGGAGAAATTGAGGGATTTCTCATCCAGAATTTTGGCTGATAATGTTATGTTTCTGGAATACCTTTGGAAATGCTCCCTTGGAGAGGAGGCTGCTTAGCATGAAAGACAAAAGTGTGATCCAGCACTAAATATATTGGATTAAATGTCAGTACTCCTGATGATGACTTTGACTAAACCACTTCATTTCTCCATGCCTTAACTATCCTCATCATATAAAATATGACTTCCCATGTCTAGGAATCCAGAAAATGTGGGTAAAACAATGGTTCATGATTTGTGGTGAGCTCTAAAAACTAAGAACTGCAGTATTGTTCAATGTATTATGAGCTGCTAGATAAATCTTTTAACAACTTCACATTGGAGTGATAGGCAGGATTCATTTAGGGAAACATAATAATTGAATTATTGGAGTAGCATGTTTGAAAATAAACATCGGAAATTGATATCTAAGTAGCAGTCATGATGGTCCCATAGTGAAAGTTTATTTTTGCACCATAATTCCTATTAAAATACTTCTGACTTTTGAGAAATAAAAGTTTTTTGGTTTAGAGTCCTCCTGTCTGGATATATAGCCATGAGTTCAAACTGATTGCATACACCCAAGATTTTTGTTTTATTTTAATAAAATGCATATTCAGTTAAAGTGATTAACCTCTGCACACTCAGAGGGTTTTGACAATGTCTTAAGTCCAAGGACCTGTTTGCATCTAACTCCTTGTTCAATCCAGCATAGGCAACAACAACAGCCACACACCCTGACATCTTGACTAAAACCAGTGCCAGGGCCGCTACCAAGGTGTCTCAGCAAGCTCATGACGTTTTTTAGCGCTGATCTCCCCAGTGGCGGTCTAGTCCCAACCCTGCCACCCACTCCCCTTCGAAATCTGCATATTCGGACAATAGAAGAAAGCACTGCTGGGAAGAAACAATATTCTGCCACACCGCCCTTAACGTAGCTCTCCGAATTTAATGAGGTCGATTGGGCATCGACAGCTCCTGCCTCTTGCTAAGTAAGGCTCCTTACCCAGAAGAGGAATCCCTCTCTAGTACACACACGTCTGAACACATGCATGCACAGGCATATATACTGCACAAACACATTTGGGAAAACACCCACGCATAAAAAAATCACACCTTCCCGCATCTTCCATAAACACACACTCTTACCCTTCACAACTGCACGCACACACGCACATACTCCTGGGGGACTCACAGACCCACACAAAATGCCACGTACCCGAAGAGCTTAGAATCCTTCCTATGCCCGCACATTGAGCCCACTCAACAGGCACCCCTATAGAGACACTTGCAGTGTGCCCACTTCCCGGAGCAGAATTCCCTCCAGATGGAACAACCTTGCTCCCCCTGAGTCGGCAGTTTCGCGTTGTGCCCAGGGACAAAAGCTGACCAGGGTGATCTTGGGGTGCATGGGACGGGAGCCATCATTTGTGGACAATGTGGAGAGATGCTAACTCAAATTGGGCAGTCCTCTTGACCAAGCCCTGCGGATAGATGCTAATCCCCTGATAGCCTTCAGCAAACAAATGGAGCCAGGAACCGTTGCAGTTATCCATTCCATAACCAGTGCTGCAGCCCTCCCTCCCTCCCCCCCCAGATGGGATGAGATTCCAGAAAAGTCAGATCATCAGTCCGGCGCCTAATCTAAGGAACTTGCGGTTTGTTAGATCTGGGCCAGGATCAGCCAAAAAAGATTAAGAAATCGACACACAGGAGCAAAACGCGCTTGTGTCGGGACACAGCTCCCCTACACCGTGTGATGAAGGAAATAGGATCCGTAATAAATGTGAAAAAGCAGCGAGTGACTGAGCGATGGCCAGTAGATGGCGCAAGAACTCTTCCCTTGTACAGTGTTAACCCTTGAGTGGTGGGTGGAGCGGCCAAGTCCAGATGTATAGATACATACATTTTACGTTTTGAAAGAAACCTTCCATTTACATATTTGGGACTGATTCAGAATTAAGACAAATGAGTTTGTTCTAGATAACTACCACAGATAAAGTAGTTTAACAGTAGCACACAGTAGCTGAAAAGCGGCTGGGGAGGATGAAAGGGCGAACTATTTGGGGAAATGACTGGCTCCCTCTCCAACTCACCCCCGCCCTGGTCACGGATAAAATCGGTTTACCGAATCATGGAAACCTGATTATGGGTTTACACGTAGGTATTTGAATATGTAAATTCATGTGTGCAAATAAATTCTTCTCTGTGATCTTCTTTTTCAATTAAATCACAGGATAATAAATGCGAGACGCCTGCTTGAAATATACTGCAACTACAGTAGTAACACATGTCCCATTATAAGGACGTGGGCATCGATGGAGCCCGATTCATTATCAGCATGGTTTCCCCAAAAGCAACACAGATCCTCCGATTAAAATATTCCTCTAACATGTTTCTGTATTCACAAGCTGCATCGGAGAGCTCACTAACATAATATTTCCCTGGCTGTTTTTACAGGCGGAATTGATCTATTCGGGGGGAAAAAATAAACCAAGCCCCTTAATTTCAAATATTGTGGGGAGTTTGTCAGAGAGCCGGAGCTGGGCTTCAAGAAGCCCACTAGTGGTTTCTGGTGGTTGCTATAACGAGCTAGAATTGAGGTAGATTTTGGTGGGGGGTTGAGGGGGGGAGCACAGGAAAAGACAGAATCCAGAGTAGCAGAGACTTTGTGCCCCCGTTGGAGAGATGGTTGAGTCCTCGTCAAGGTTGCTGTGGTATCCCAGAAACACCATTCACTCCGAGCTGTGACCGCGCACCAACAACAGCAACAACTCCACTGCGCCGGGCTGAGGAGCAGGAATTAGGAGCTCGCGAATAATATGAAAGGGATCCGCAAAGGGGAAAGCCGAGCAAAGGAATCCAAACCCCGGGAGCCTGGCACGAGAAGATGTGCTAAATGTGGCCGCCTAGACTTCATCCTGATGAAGAAAATGGGGATTAAAAGTGGATTTACGTTTTGGAATCTCGTCTTTTTATTGACGGTGTCTTATGTGAAAGGTAGGTCTGCTTTCGGGGTCCCCTCTGCTTTGGATGGAGGTGAGCTGACTTGTCGCCGGAAAAAGGCTGGTAGCTTACTTTGCAATTTGCACCGATAAAATAATGATAATAATACTGAAGAAGGAGTTGATTCACAGCTCTTTCGCCCCCCACCCCCAGATAGGAAATGCATTTTGCTTGCCAGATTTGGCGTTCAATGCAGTGATTGAGCTTGTGCTCAATAAATATTCTTGCAGTATGCTCAAACGAATACGTGAGTTGGTTCGTATAGCCTCTAACTAGTGGATATCCAGGCAGAATTCCTGTGCAAGACTTTACTTGGTGGTGAGGATTACCTTGATTTCTAGTCAAACCAGTGGGATTTGATGCTTTGGCTAGAATATTTATATTAAAGACACTCGTGTAAACGCTTTTTAACCCTTTCAGGTAGGAAAGTTATTGACATGCTAGGAATGTGCTGATGTTGAATGCATTAGGGCACAGGGGTCTTCCAAGCATCCCCTTACTAACATGAATGTCTCAATGCATATGTCAATTTTTACTACGTGGGCTCTTATGCATTGATAAATGGTATGGGAGCTTCCCTGGTAGAGGTTTGGCTTAAAATGAGGCTTTACAAGGGTCTGAGACGCCACGAAGTGTAAGGATCCACCTTTGGGGATGAATGAAGGTAGGAGGAAAGTCATTAGCTGACGACCAAAAAGAAAATCCCCAGCAAGTCTTAGCGTTCAGACAGGTAGAGTGAGTGTCACATGCACAGACGAGGGGAGGGGGTGGGTGGGATGTAAAATGTATTCCTAAGCAAGAAAGCAAGGGCAGAATCATTGGAAGAAAAGCTGTCCTCTGGGAGAAAATAGATCCCCAGGTCTGTTCCACAACTTCTCCTGCACCCTGCTGCCCATTAATTGCTGCAAAGAATACTCAGGAGGTGTTTATGACTCATGCCATAATTTTTGAAAAATCACCTCCCCATACTCATGGCAGCTCAAATAGATGCGATCGCTTTCAGTGAAGCTAGTTTCAAATCCCGGGTGTCTGTGTGTCCGGGGTGAGGGTGGAGGGTGGGTAGTGGGGGGTGTTTTGGCCCAGGCGCGCCAAGGCTGTCAACACAAACTGGACGCTTCTTCCTTTGTAAAGGAGTGCCTCTCTGAACCGCAATCGGGCCGCGTCTCTATGAAACAGTTTATTGTCCAGCTTGCAGCTGGCTGTCCCCCCACAGAAGGCAGTCCATTTGCATTCAGTGGAAATGATAATTCATGTTTTGGGTGGAGGGAGCTGAAGGGGTTACCTCTCATTCTATTAGGAGCAAGGATGGGTGACATGTCTCGAATTTTAATTTACATCCCTAAATGCCAAGAAGTCGCCTCTGGTGTCTGTGGCAGCAACTGTCTTGTAATCCCAACCTGATCCTTAAAGCTTGATTTTTTTCCCTTTCCCTGGAGCCTCAGCTCAGCTCTAAGGCAAAACGCCTGTCCCAAGCAGGGTAACTACACTGCCTGGTGCACAAAAAGCGTCTCGGGTTGCTTACAATGGGTTCGTTTTCGTCGCCGGCTCGACGTGCGGGGAGCCTCACATTTATGCTTAGTCCGCCTGCCACTGGGAGTCTGTGGTTAATGGATGGCCCTGGGGCTGACTGCTAGACAAGCGCTCGGCGTGGGGGAGGCGCAGGGAGCCAGCAACAGCTCCTGGCAAGAAAAATGTTGGGGTGACTCCTGCTAGAGGATGACCGGGGTTAAGTGCGAGTTTTCATGTGATACCTGTTGAGCCAAAACACATTCGAGGGGCAGATGGGGGGAGGGAGTCTCCAAAGCCGAGAGAGCACGCCAGCCTGACAAACACTGAACGGCGTTGCCTGCAATTACAGAGAGGCTGCTCGCACCTACCGTATTTTCTGAATAAGACCCGCCGCTGAAAGGAAGGGCGCGTTAATATGGTTTAAATGACACCAGAAACGGGACCCCTCTCCTCTACTCACAGCTCCTGGACTTTGGGCTGAGACCACTGGTCTCCACGGAGTATATTCCAGTTTGAGGGACATTGAGAAGAAAGACTGTGTCACACTGCTTTGGTCCCGTTTAAAATCAATTTTTTACGGAACTTAAAAAACATTTTAATGGTAATAAGGTTCTTCTTTGTCACTTATCTGCCATTCGGAAGGTTTCTCCTATATTTTACAACTTGGAACGCTGTCCTCAAATTCTGAGAAACAAACTTACCTGGGCTGTATGCTTTAGACCTGTTCCCTATCGGTGGCTGGTCCCGGTCTTAACAGTTGCTTATTCTCCTTTCCCCTCTTCTTATTTTATTTTAATTTCACCTCAGTCTCAAGGCTTTTCTAAAACCGTGATTGCTGAAATGGCTTAAATGGTGTTTCTCCCAATGTCTATGACCGCTTTTGTTTTCCACATTGTTTCTTCTGGACTCTCTGGCCCAAAGCAAAGCTCAGAATGGGGAGTCGTTTTAAGAGCTTTGCAGGTCCTAATCTAGGTTAGCAGGAGTTAGCAGGAGTGTTCGGGAAGTCGGAGGTGCGCGGTTTTCCACGTAAACAGCTCAGGCCACAAGAATTCCACCTTTTGCCCATACTTTTCATCCCTTCACCATCTCACCTCTGCCTACAACAGCAACGACAGAGAGGCTCAGTGGGAGGAAACGCCTCCGAGTAGAAGACAAAGTGGCCTTAGGTAGTAGGCCTGAACTGCTCCAATGGGGTTGGAAATGAGAGCCAACCTTATCTGGCCATTTTATCTCCACTGTCAGCATCTCAAAAGGTGGCCGACAGAGGACTCCAAATTGGGGTGGGGAGCTGCTTAGACCTGACGCATGCCTATTTTAAGCTGTCTCTCTCTTTCTCTCTCTCTCTCTCTCTCTCTCTCTCACACACACACACACACACCACACTCGAGCGCGCCAGCGCAGGCGGGCAGGCAGGCAGGCAGAGGTTTTTGAAATGCAGCCTGCAGCTGCAGCGTGTCTGCTGAGGTTTCACTCACATAGAAACTGTGAATCTCCAAGTCGTGCTTAAACGTCCCGCCCACGTAAACAGACACTCGGGGGTACTTTCCCACGCTCCGTCTCGGGAGATCACACAGCCAGTGCAGGAGATACCAGGCAAAGGGTGCGGGAACCTTGCGAAGGTTCAGAAAGCACTGACGTCGGTCGACAGGTGGGAGAGCCTGTCGTTCCACACCCTGCCTCGGGGAGTGCTTCCTGGGGCTCGGGCTGGACCCCGGACTTCGAGAAGGATCCACGTTTCTGCGTGCTCTGGGATCCCAAGGAGATATTACTCCTGCCACAGAGCTCTTCTGGAACAGTGGGTTTCACGCCCTCTTCCTCAGCTAAAAAGGGTCGCGGGTGGCCCTGCGGGAGGAGAGCTGCCAGCGAACTCTGAAGCATCTTTTGCCGTTGCCAGGGTGGCCGCGCCCCGGGGTCTCAGACCCCTGCGCGTCGCGTCTTCGGGGACTGATACCCTCACTCCTTGCCCTCAGGTGACAGTCTGACCTGACAGAAAATATCTGGCATGTCTTGAGGGAGCTTTTCAAAAGGGAATGGAGTAAGTTAAAGTCTTCACAAAACAATAATGACAACAAACCAAAAAAAAAAAAAACACACAAAAAAACCAAAACCCACTTCCCCTTCATCGCCACCGTCAAAAGTCTTCCCTTGAGGTTAGCACGTTTGAGATACCTGCTGGGAGATAACATTTTGTGTTTGAGGCAGGGGTCCCGCTGCAGTTTGGGCAGGTGTCCTTCCGTCTTTTTCCTTTGGGAATACTTTTTAATTTCCTCTGGAAGGCCAGACTCCACGAAATTTCAAAGAACCACCCGAGGTTGAAAACTGAGCGCCTGACTTGGCCTTGGCGCGTGTGTGTATTGCTGGAGGAGGACATCCACATGGATTGACGCCGAGGGGCCTTCGGGAAGCCTCGAGAGTGCATGTGCGTGTCTGTGTGGGTGTCCGAGGCTGAAATGCGTGGCAGGTGAAGAGTAAGTTTATGTTCCCGCGCTCTAGATGGTTGGCGGTGCCGTGGACACTGCTGCCGCGCTATCCGGTGCGGGCATCGAGAAAACTCCCTTTCCCCAAGCTGACCGCAGCGCTGCCCTCACTCAAACAACTTCTCCTGTGATGGGCATTCCGGGAGTTCGAAAAACTCACTGGGGAACAAGTAATTGGGATTGCTGTCCCTCTACGACCCCTTCATTCTCCACCCCAGCTCTGTCGCTGGGGAAAAAGAAAAGCAGGAGGCAGTCCCAGGGTTCAAGAGCCACAAGGGCTTAGTTGGACCCTAGGGGAAAGGGCAGAAGAAACGAAACAGCATGGGGTCATCCCAGTCACCGTGCGGTCCTCTACCAGAGCCGCTGGAGTGGCCAGCTCGGGGTTGAAAGCCGGACGCGCACAGGGATTGCAGCACATTGCAGAATAATAATGAAGCAGGACGACCATAGAAAGAAAGATCGACTCAGGCATCAGGCGAATTCCCTTCTCCCTGAGCACGTCGCCTTCGGGGAGGCTTTGCACCACCGAGTTGCTCAGCCAACCCAATTTGCCGCCCTGAAAAGGCTTGAACAGCTCCTAGAATTCTGAGCTGAGCTTCCCCTGAACAGTTACCTTGTTGAAATTGTTCTGAAATGTCATTTTGCAGCACCGTGTTTTCCCGAATCTTCTGGTGTTGGGGG